AAAACAACAAGCAGAATATGTACGCTTTAAAAATCTTTCTTTGGTAAGGTTTATCATCAAACCTATTAATTGCTAAATAGATGTGTGGGGAGCTAGGACTAGAAGAGGAGAAACTAAGACTAGAAGCTCGTAAGGGAAATGGAGGTAGGGGCAAGACTTGAAGCTAATTAGCTGGCAGAGGCAAGAGACAGAAAAGTCTGCTTAGAGGAGGAGCTGAAAAAGGGGGAAATGGGCTGGCTGCCAAGGAAATAGAGACTAGGAACTAGTTGGTGTAGATAGGAAATGGAAACAGAGAGATGGGAAACAGATCTGACAAGGAACTGTACTGGGGGAAGAAGCACTGAAACTGACTGGGCAAAGTTACCTGGTCAAGAACCAGAGAATTAAGATGAGCCTAGATGTAAAGCCAGGACACGAACTGGGAATAGCCGGGACAGGAAACTGGGATGAAATGCTTGGGGAGTGGAAAATAGGGGTGTGGAGGAAAGAAGAATAGGATTAGCTAAGTAGTGGTGTAGAAGAGACAGGACTGAGACAGGGTGGAAAAGTCTACTCCTACCAGAGGACACTCTCCAAAGCCTGGAACGAAATTCAAAGTTCCAGAGTTTTACCATTCTTCCACCACCAGCTAATACCTATGAAATCCCCTGACAAAGTGCATGTCTCATTCTCCTCTACTGCTGGTCTATATAAAGAATGAAAACCTACTACTGCCATCAGTTACTCCATTAATTGAAGTGGTGGAGGTCTGTACAGTTAATGTAAATGTTACTATCTTGTTGATGACTGGCTGGTAGGCATCAATGTGGTTAACATATTGGAATTTCCATTTTTTCAGTTTGCTTTAAAATAAAAAAGGAAACTATATACAAAGAGTTCCAACAAAACGTTAAAAGTTGCCCAGTCAAAAGATAGGAAAAGCAAGAATGTCTTTGCAGAAGCTGGAAAGTGCGTAGTGAAATATTCACAGAATTATAGGAAAAGAGATGCTTTCCTGTTTAACACAGTTGAATCTGCTTTGGTGAACCTTATCTCTGCCTTAGACTTCCTTTGTGATACTCGATAAGTCACTTGAAAGAAAAAGCGTTCATTAATGGTGTGTTCCTCATTTTCTGGCTGCCTGATATGAGACCTCAGGGTCCAATCTGCAGGAGTGCCCGGTACTCACAGCTACAACCTAATGATTGTGCTTTGAACATTCCAAGTACTATATCATTAATTAGACTGCACTGCCCACTTTCTGAACTTAATCTCCCTGCGCCTCACTTTATGGGAAGGTTAAATTTTGTGAAACACTCTTCAGCATGTGGCCTCATGCCTTATTTATGCAAGCTAGTCATACCCTGCTCTAAAGACACAATTATTCATTTCCTTCTCAGCTTTTCTATGGGCCTCATCATTATTGTGTCAACGAAGATAAAATACTGAATACGTACTTATAACTTGTTAGATGAACACCTTGCTGTTTGATGAACACCTTGCTGGGGTCGTTTGACCCCAGTACTCTTTCCTGCCATGGCAGGGGGTTGGACTAGATAATCTTCTCAGGTCCCTTCCGACCCTAGAAACTATGAAACTAGGGACCTACTCAAATCATAATTTTGCAGATTTTGCAGAAACCACAAAATCAGGCATTGTCCACAAAGTCTGAAAAAAAACCCCTTAATATAAAATGTGGGCTTCCCCAGTGGGTGCCAGGTTGTTGCTGTAGTCCAGCCCAGCCGGCTGCTGGGGGAGAAGGAGCCGCCACTGCAAAGGGAAGCAGCCAAGATAGTGGCTGCCCCTGACTGGCTGAGAGGGTTGCCTGTTGCGCAGCCCTGCCCCTTACCACCAATTAGTGGTGAGGAACAGGACCACAGCAGAGCCACTGGGGCCCCTTGGCAAATCAGAGGCATGAGGGGGAGAGCATCAGAAGCCTGTGAAAATGGGGGCTGATCCCACAATCAGCCCATGAAATTGGCTGCCTGCCATTGATTTTGGTAGGTCCCTACTTATTACATGAGACTTTCCATATAACCATTGTAATGGGACTATGGATTAGCAAAAAGAACATTTTCGTAAACTGATTTAGTTCAGATACTAAAAAGCCTCAACTACAGCATTTCAATTAGCAAACTTGCGAAAATGGTTAACATTAGGGCTTACATTAACATATATTATATGTAACAATCCAATTTAACTTTTTTAAATTCATGAGTAAAATAACTACTTAACTAAGGCATTATTTCCTATCAACACTGTAAACTGTAGTCCCACTGAAGCTAACACATGCCCATCTGCATTTTTTTTCGTGGCCAAGTTATCTCTTCTGACAGAATGCTTCAGTAACTTTTCTTGATACCTACACACACAAAAAATTAAGTCTTTCTTACCTGTTTGAAATTTGTTACTGCTTTTATGACTGGGGAGGCTGTTATTAAGAGAATATCTTCTAATGGGAATTCCACAGACAGCTGGTAAAGAAGCAAAGCTCTCGATGAGTGAATATAATTGTCAGTAGAATTTGACAATAACAATAGTTTTAACTCCTAAACCCAATAAGCTGTATTGGCACATTTAATACATTAGTCCCTGCAGAAGCTCAGCAAACTGACTGAATATTGCTGCCAGTTTACAGAAGACTAAATTTTCCCAGAGTGAGCTAGGAGTCAATGGAAGTGAACCTAATTCCCAAATCCAAGACTATAATTTATTTATACAGATATTTCTGTGTCCTGG